ATCGCTAAGTCAGCGATGCCTTAGGTTGTATATACGCGAGTGTGGACGCAGGTGGGCGCAGAGTATCATGGCCACCAATCGGAAATGCAAGGCAAATACCCGACTATACTTGATGCGACAGAGGTACATGGAAGAGGGCCCATTCTACGGCTTATGCCGGGCCTCTGTGATGTACATGCGTCCGTGCAGTACTTGGAATTTTCTTCTGTGCACGGGCCAGAAGTGTTGCGGGATAAGCGCTTCCCCGTGTAGCTCAACGTTACCCCTGCATCTGACAACGACGTTCGAACTCTGAGCCTCAAAGTCCCAGGGTTGCATGAACCTGTCCATATTCAACGTCTTCCCAAAGCTGGATGGAAGCATGTACTACAGAGTACTAGGAGTCAATGTGGTCGTTGTGATGCATCTACCAGCGAACTTCGGAGGGCCAACTGAGCCGATTTCTTCCCGGCCGTGCCAAGTCAGTTACACGGTGAGAGTAATGGACCACAGCCCAGCTCTGAGAATTAGATTCGGCCGGCCGGATACGCAGATGTTAGCGACTATCAAGACCATTTCATCCATGGCTGATTGCAGCTTAGGTTCCAGAGGACGACTGTCCCGTCGCAGACACTGCTAATATATTCGATGAAGATATCCACCAGGGAACCCTCTACTCGACGTCTATCTTTCAATTCTGGTCGAGAACTGAGTCTCTCTTCGTTAGGTTCTCATCACTGTTCTTCATGTCGGGAGAAGCTATCCCTTCGCCTGCTTCGACCCTCTCTCACTCTCCTTGCCGTCCATCTCCCTCTTTCTCCCCTTCGCGCTGGACTTGAGACGCGACGGAGTCGCCGGGTGGCGACGGTCCTAGTATATTCTATTCAGTCTCCCGATGGCCTGACGGTAAATCTGGCCCAAACGCAAGCTTACCCGTCGTTAACCCGTCCACTCCATTTGGACCCGTCTTGGCTGAGTCGTCAAGGCTGCTTGTGACATTGGGGGTTGTAGCAGTGCTCGATGTTTCGATGATGCTCGCCGTGGGCCTCGGCCGTGAGCCGGTGGGCGGACCCGTGTACCCTGCGCGCAGGACACGGGAAGGGTCGACGGAATTGACGGCTGCGCGGCGGTTGGGAATGTCCCAATTGTGGCCTGCTTCGCGTCAGTGTTGCTTGTTCTGGATGGTTTGGGATAGTATGAGGGTATCTTTGAGCAGGAGAGGAGGATCTTACGAAAGGGAGGCGGCAGAGGGTAGCCGTAGGGATTATCTGGGATGAGGCTCACTGGTCGGATATCTGTTCGGTTCCAATGTTAGTACGAGAAACTACGAAGACCGCGGTCGTGGGAAAGTATGGTCTTTCCTGTGTGGGCAAGTCCAGTGGGCTTAAATGAGCACGTCCGAACGTCCGGGCTCAACCGGGAAGCTGTCAACGGTGACAGAGCGGGTGGGACAGTCAGTGACGGGCAAGCGGAGGTGGACCGCACGGATGGAGATTGAGCATCGGGGGACGGGACGGGTGGTGTTGACGACGTCGTCGGAGCCTGAGCATTCTGTTGGCGGCTGACATTCGCAGATTCCTGCGAGCTTCCAGCCTGTTGTCCTGACGAATCCATTGGAGGTTGCTGCGTCGTCTGGCAATACGCTTTTTGGATATCGTCTAGAGAAGCCTCCCAAATTGTGGAAAGGGTTCGTAGTTGCTCGGCCGTTTTCTTTGGCGAGTTAAAGTAGCGAGGCTTGAAAGGACGCCCTCTCCGAAAATCGGGCAACACAAGGTCGGCCTGGTCCTCCTGCGAACTAGTACTGCGGTTCTGGTATGGTTGAGAGCGACGGCGAGGTCGATACAGGGGGTAGTCCGCACCACCTGAGGTTCGTGTTCATGTCAGCCTCGCGCTTCGTGCTTGGTGTCCTGTAATTGTTGACGGTTTCCATGTTCCGTTACTCACGGCCGACATCGCCCAGATATTGTTCTATCTCGTCGATTGACTCGACAGTCAAAAAGGATACCTGGTCATCTTCGGCAGGCGCAGCAGGTGTCTTCGCTAATGATGTTTGTTAGCAGCATACCTTATCAAGGGACTGCCAGGGGCAGAGAAGGTGCCCTAACATCTTGAACGCAATATAGCAGCAAACATGTTGATAAGCGATGCAAATTAATTTTTATGTTTGTATATATAATGAACTGGAAAGGGTCTTCTGCAAAGGTCAAACACAAAATAAACATGAATCCTTATATAGCAAAGTAAACCTCTACACAAGGTGGTCATAAAGGCAGGTCTGTTGACTCAAGCTCACAGCAAGAAAGGGACCCTATTAAAACGACTTGCTCAGAATACCAATGTTTGTTAAAGGTAGGTAGACGTGGCACTTTCTCTTGGGGTTTGTGCAAACCTTGGACGAAAACTTGGGAATACTTGTGGGCTCAAGCGGGAGAAAGTCTTTGATGTCAAGAGGACAACAACAGGTATTCAGGGGGTTTGGCATTTCACTTCATGATCAACTTGTCATAAGGTAGGTCTTTACTATGCTGTGTCATGATTATCCATTGTATAGTCAACATGAAAGCAACCTGTACTGGCCCCGGGCGACTCTGATCTGGAGTATTTCAACGGAAGTGGATTGCTACCTCATCATCCTCCTGCAAGCAGGACATAGACTGTTTTGGGGCCGCAACGGGAACCTCCTCCTTGGACAACTGAGAGCGGCTGCTGGAACATCGCGTGGGCTGCCGAGAAGGAACTTCGTCTTGGGAAACTGGTTTACATCTTCGCCCGTGGCCAAATCGCAGAAGGCCGTGTTTTGGTATGTTTGGTGTTTGCAACCCAGGAAAACGCGCTTGACAATATTACACATGGTGGTCATGCCGCTTGCTGTTTCTTTCCGTCTATGGCATTGAATGCTTGTTGTTCAACCTGGTTTTGATTTGACTGTTTCCCATGGTCAGTTCTTTGAGGGAGAAGTATTTATAACTTAGGTAGGAACTCAGTCAGATCATCCAGCTCATCATCTCAATTCTTGTCATGAAACCAGAGCAGTTCCAGCAGCCATTGTTCCTTGAAACGTCCCATGCCTCGGCCAATAATGCATTCAGGAGTCTATATGAGGTAGGCACCAACAAAGGCGACAACCTGACCTGAACTGTTGACAAGATTCTTTGTTTTGACTGACACGGAAGCTCAAGTTCATTCCAGATTCTTTCAGATTGGTGTTTCCCCAGGCCGTGCCAAACTAAGGTACCTAACGTGTCTCACCATCCACACCGAACACCGTTTCCCAGGTTTCCTTCCCGCCAGCGATATCACAGCACAAGTAGAAGGTCACATCTTAGTGACAACCGTTTTCCGGCCCCAATGAGATAGTGAGCCGGTCATGGTACAGATGAGACCGCGCGTCTGCGACAAAGGATTTCCCGAGCGTCCGACGCCAGAAACATACGAGTCCTACAAATAGCCAGCTAACAACATTCTATATATAAACAAATATTCTACTCAGCTCAACCGACTGTCACCAAAGGGGCAGCGGGTTATCCTCTCGGCCAGCTAGTTGGTGAGCTACCATCACTTAATCGCTCACGGTTCTCGACTCATTTTTCAAGTAGGTCGTCGGTTCCGCCCTGGCATGAAACTCGATGGCCCCGGTGGTGATACAGTAAAGACCCTAACCATCATTCGAAGGACTGGACGAGACTCAGGCGTGTCCTCATTGCCCTTGCCCTGGGTCAATAAACCTTTTTCTCTCTCTTCCCGCTTGTTTTCGAAGCAACTGCATATAATTTGAAATTTCGAACATGGGTCCGCCACTGGCTACCTTCCCTGACGGCGACGACGACTCGGCGAGTGCCAGCATCTCAACAAATGCGGTTTCCTTTCGACGTCGTCAACTCGAATCTCACCAGTCCACCGTACTGTCCACGGCTCCACGCTCCAACTCGCTCGGCCATAAGTCGAAGAAAGCCCATGGGTTCGGGATCGACGACGAAGCTGCACCATCACCTCTTTACGACTCACTCAGCATACCACTCCGCGATGGCAATGCCAACGAACTCTTGTCCACAGAGATCCTTGAATCCCCAGCAGTATTTACCAGCCAAAACTCCTCCGCGTTCCCGTTACCATGGAGCTGGACCGTATCGCACTGGCTCTCGCTCCAGTGTGGCAACCAGAGTCTCGACGCGAACACAGAATGGAAACGTCTGCACAATATGTGGCTGTACCAGTGCGATTCATTCCTGTGATATGTTGCTCTCGGTCACAATCCTGATCCGCCAGTTTTCTACGATGACCCCAACAAAAATACCATTGATTTCTAGTCCTGGTACAGACGACAACTGGATGAGCGAGACCCATATCTACGGATCCAGGATCCTCAGCCAGCAGACCGTCGTCGGAGTAGGCCGAGCAATACGCCAGTGTGCTATACTTTACGGATACACAATGTCACAATCCCGCCGGAGGTTACAGACTACTTACTAGTAGTAGTCCTCCGAACGTCAGCGAGTCTTGATGCTTTCAGAATCCCCCTTGTTCCCCGACTCGAGCTGGCCCTTGGTAGCCCGCAACGACAACAATTGCGCAGGCCTACTAGTGCTCAGGTTCCCACGAAGAGGCTATTGAAGCCTGAGGGTGACAAGCTCCGACCAGGGTTCCAAACGAGTTACCGAGACTACGTAGTAAGCGAGCTGGTAGACACCGAGCGGAAATACGTTCAAAGACCTGGAGCACTTGCACGATCTGAAAAAGACATTGGAACAGAATGGCATTATATCCTGGAGACGATCAGTCTCGCCCCTGGCACCGCACATCCCACTCCTCCTCGAACCCTTGACCGATGGTCAGCCAACAACATCGGAGTCTACGCTATCATCGGGCTGGTCATGGGCGCCTGGCAGAACTGCGCACTCAACTGCCCCTCATCACAGTTCTTCCATTTCTCTCCAAGGACGCCTAAACGAAATGGAGCTTGTTACCACCTAATTACCCATGAGAAAGAGAGAAGCGGGACACAAATCTATACAGAGGCCGCGAACGCCACTCTCCAGGCTCATAAGAGGGAGGCATTTAATGTGGTTCTGCCCCGTCTGTACCCCCATCCGGCGTCACTCGCTGCAACCGATTAGCCCTGATCTCAAGTTACCACTTACCGACTCCCCCGGGTCAGCGGAACCCCCAATCACCCTAAATCACCAAGTATTGCTTGCCTCGCTTTGCCTGTATTCGCCCGGCTTAGCTAGCGTGATAGCGGCCGGGCAACTAGCTTTGCTCTCTCTAGCTACCCGAGGATGAGAGTCATGAGACCACTCCGGGTCCCTTTCTCCTGATCGCCTACTTGCTCTTTTCCTCCTTCAACACCAACCGCCGAACCCCTGCTCCTGTCCCATTGCGGCTCCGCGTCCGATTCGTGTTCCAGTCCGGTGGTGGCTCCGGCGTCCCGACGTTTCCTGGGTCTTTGACGACTTTCTGAATCCCAAACCGGACTTCATGGACACCATCCTTTTCGAGGAAGTCGGTAACCAAGACCAGGACCAGAGCCAGGTCCAAGAGCAGGCCATGGAATGGCACAGCAACGGCGGGATGGATGTCACCGTCGAATCCGCCAATCGCTACCTTAAGAGCTTCCTAGTCACGGGCAACAGTACTGTCAAGCAGGTCGTCCATCAGGCGTTCAATATGGTTACAGCAATGAAGGTCAACATTGAGGAGGAGCGCCAGGAACAGAAGAATCTGCTAAGACGCGAATGCATTGGGAAGACTTGGCTTGGTGATACGCCTCTTTAAGTAAACGCCAAAGAGGAGACCTGCACTTCCTTCGTCAATTTCCCACCCTTATCCACCTTGGCCTGCCGATTAGTGGGCTGTACCTATTCAGTCTCGTGATTTCCTTTTCTCTGAGCCTCCAATCCTGATGCTATTTGGATTGCGCGGGCACTGATCGTTGGCTAGAGGCTTGGTGTCGTCGGGAAGCTGCTTGCGAAAGTTTCTCGCGGCTCAGCTCCACGCGGCCTTCATGTTCGCCTCCCACATAGTCGATCAGTCTCTGGGCTTTGTTTGTGTGCGTCGAACACACCCCAGGGCCCAGCGGTAAACTCAGCGGGAGACCTCGCCGTCAAATTGCCCAAAAGCCGAGGAGCGATCATGGACTTCTGTGCTTTCCACTGAGCGGGAAGAGGACCGCATTCTGGGTAAGAATTGCACCAACTCCTTACTGTCTGAGCGAAGCTGATGGGTCGCTAAGATGCTGATGTACGGGTCTCCAAAATGTTGATCACCGGGTCGTCACGGCAGTCTTCCAGTAGAAGGCGGAACAAGTCATAATGCCGTGTCTCGCCGGCTGCCGAAGAAGGATGAGAACGTGGGTGTGTACGAGGCGAGGACAGCCAGTGCCCGACAAATTGAGCGCAAGTTCGAGGTCAATGAGGACCACTTCAAGCCGAAGCCGCCACTGCCTTTGGGAACGTTTTGGAAGTGCCGCTTCCTTTTGACGTTGAGACGGACACGGAGCCCCTGACCGTCATTATTACCCTCACCGACTCCGATTACGATCATGAGGAAGGTGGTAGCAAGCCTTCGTCGAGGGTCGGATGGGTGGCAACGCAGCTGCCGCGGGCCGACTTGGTACCCTACTTTCGCGATAACCTACTCACCCGGAACAGATCACGACCTCCGAGGCACTCATGGCTCACTCTGGAATCAGGTCTACAACCCGGCCATCACCGAGTCGCAGAACCTATTCGACACGCTCCCCTTGAACCCAGACGACGAGTTTTCCACACCTTCAAACCACCTTGTAAGGTTGGCGGGTGCGTGAGTGCGGAAACCCTCGACGATTAATGAGGGAGCGTGGTGAGGGCATATTGCTGCTGAAGGCCTGAAATGAAGCAGAGCTACAGTACCTCATACTTAGTACACCTGTCATGGGATCTGTGTGCCACCACTGGCAAGTTGGCCAGCCATGCCACAGTCTTCCCAGACGTACAACTTACAAGTTGTGGGTGAAGATTTTGCTCCTCGTTGTCACTGGCGGTGACACTGAAAGTAGGAATGGGAGTACCCGCTGAACTTAAGCATATCAATAAGCGTAAACTCTTTACATTCCAGTCACGGTGTCTCCCTAACAAGGAAGTTCAAGGTCTGAGAGCCGATTCATTCTGAAAAGAATCGAGTGCCAACCTCTTGTTTTTTCTTCTTCTAGAGTTTAACCCTTCCTGTCACACCACCGTTTCATGGCGAACCATCGCGATTTTGCTCGACTTTCTTCAGTCGCTTGGAAAAGTAACCAACAGGATTTGCCCTAGTAACGGCCAGTGAAGCGATGGACGCCGGTCATACGCACTTGTACATAGAGATTTTAGGAGTCATATTCAGGGACTCCGTCTTACTATGATCAATAAACTCTTAATAGTCTTACGTTTGGTGCACACACTCTAAACACGATGTGTCCTGGGCAATGTTGTGCTCCTACGAAGGTACTCCAGGGTCTCCAGAGACCGCACGACTGCCCCCCTGAACGGGGTGCCTAGATCCCCTAATGACAACAAAACTGATGCTACCAGTACCCGGAAGTACTATGAGAAGACGACTGGAAACAGCGTGCGGAAAGTATCATCAGATAATATTCCGTGCCAATCCGAGTGTAAGCCCTTAGACATGAAAGGGAAGTCAGAGCTTATGAACACACAGCGTTGTTTCGTCGATATAACTTGTGAAATGATGACTCGTAACGAGTTTCTTCTTAGGCCACATACATGATATTTGCGTGTTGTCCAAGTCGTAGATTGCGTCACAAAAAGCATGCCACGCTCCTATCCAAAGACAAACAAACCCCTGACCAAGTGGTCCAACACCACACCCACTACCGGCCAGACGCTTTCCTTGTGCTGCTTGATAAAAAGACCGCGGCCAGCTTCCACCATTGTATACAGGCGAGCTACCTAGCAAATCCACGCCGGCCTCAAGCAAGACACGATCCGTCTTATCACTCATTCCGAGTTGGATCTTCCCTCCTCAAATTTTATGCGACGCCGGCTCCGGCGCTTCCCAAGTACTGACGGGTAGTCCAACGCATCTAATCCAAAACCATGCCACCCATCAAGCGACATTACCTGCCCTCTTGATCTCTTCGATGCCAGCTCATGCTCACCGAGTTCCAGTTCCACCCTCTTCCGCCCCTATCCTGGCCCAATTCATCACCCCTTTGCCCTCCACCCGTTCCCCAACAACCACATCAATGTTCCCGGACGTAGTCTTCCCCAGGATCCTCCCTCCCTTTCCTTTCTCCCCCTTCCTCGCCACCAAGCTCTTATTGATCCCCGGCCAGTCACTGCCTGCCTTGATCAGCTTGACGCCCTCACCCGCAACCTTCAACTGGCCCGTCAGTGACGTAAGCTCAATATCTCCCTCCCACGACCCCGGGTACAGCAGCTTAATGTCCGCAGATGTGCTGGTGTGCTGCGCGTGCAGGCCGCGCAGCGGTAGCGGACCGCCATTCTGCTTCCCCTGACTTCCCGGATCGACAACCAAATAACTGCTAACACCACCGCTGGAGGCGTCCATCCACAGAGGTTCCAGAACCTTCACGTCCGTCGTTCCGCTGAGGCTGCTCGTCTGCAGTGCCACTTTCTTCGCATCGCCCTTGGCGAAAGACTTATCCAGCACGGGCAGCAGATCCAGGCTCACAGTCCCCGAGGTGGTTCTGAACGACGCCGACGAGCTGAACGCGGCCGCACCGAGGATATCGCCGCTCGTGGTTTGCACGTCCACGCGGTAGTCCCTTGGCGGAAGGAGAGCGTCGGCTGTGATATCTGCTTGCTGCCCGTTCCTGGCACCCTCAAGGGTATGGGCAATTTCCGTGGCGTGGATCGGCTCGCGGAATTCGACATTGCCAGACAGAGACTTGATGTACAGGATGGCCGGTTTCGGGGAATCGCTGTCCACCTCCTTGGGCTCAACGCAGACTCGGATGCTCCCCGCCGTGGAGCGCAAGCCGAGATAGTCGTACAGCGGCCAGGAGCCTTTGATTGGCGCCGCCGTGGTCGTGACCTCAATGAAGCGGGAGTGGAAGCGGAACGAATCAGGGGCGCCGACATCCACAAGCTTGTCATCTCTAGCGTCTACACCGGTGGACGCGGCGACGATGTGCCCGGCTATGCTGGTGAGTTTTGTTACTCGTAACACGGAGAGTGATAGGTTGTCGAGGAGTCTAGTGCCTAGATGGACGGCGTTGACCTCAAGCTTGTCGAGCTCGCCATTTTCCGGAACCCACACGGTCACCTTGATGCTCATGCAGGGTCTCGGATCTCCTCGGCCCCAATCCACTCGGGGAGGAACAGTGATGATCAATATTTGATATTCCGCATTCCAGGTGCTGTCAAGGGTGAGGCGTTCGTCATTGACAACCGTCTCGACAATCACTTTCGAGCTTGGTGTGCCAGAGCCGGCCTTGCGGAATATGACGGCGCCCTCCACATGGACGTCGATCCACTCTTGATGGCTACTGTCATCGTCAACCTTTTGCACCAAGGTCAGGGGGTTGTCGGACCCAAAGGACACCTGGTAGGTGTCGATGGGACGGGCAATCTGTGCACCCCCGCAGATATCTCGGGCGTTCCAAGAGAAGTCGTCGTCAATCCCCGGATAGTTCATGCCTGGATGACCTGGTCTGGGTTGTGTTTTGGGTTCGTCTGCTGAAGGGGGTTTTGGCCCTTTCTATAAGGCCGGGTCAGTGAAGACGTTGGAGAGAGATGGAGAGAAGGGTTAGAGTAGACAAATAAATTGGCTATGGTCTGAAGGTGAGAGATAGATAGTAGAGGCAACCCTCCTTTATCAAGCCGGTGCTGGTAACGTAGCAAGTGGTGAAGAATGACGCGTCATGCTTACCTCACTGGTCGTGGTACTTACGAGGCTAATGAGAAAGCCAACGGAGACCAGAAGAAGTACAAGAACAAGTACCACTATCCTGCAGTAATGGGCATACGTCCACATGCGGCGCCTCCACGAGTGATCCGCATGGGCATCAGAGCCATCAGGGTCTGGACCGCCCATACTCTGAGGCTGACGAGCCAAAAGGCCTTGGGCCTCATCTGGAAGTCCCATGGTGATTCCCAGGGTTGTGGGTTGGGAGAATGTGCTATAGTTCCTCGGTGCGTCTTGCGAGTTGGAAGGAGAGGTGGGGGAAGGTGTATAAGCGGGCGGCGCCTCGATTGGCAGTGGTACAAAGTGCGATTGTTGTGCACCATGGAACCCAATATCTCGCATCGCGTAAGCTCTATATGAAGACGGCGAAGACAAGCGGTTGGCTGATGGTGCCGGGGCGGTATGGTACGCGGCCCCTGGTGACTGGGAGGCATGCCTCGTACTTTGCCTGACGGATGACGAGGTGTCTGAAGATGGCAAGCCGTTTCGGGACTCGGTCGTGGGAGGGATCGAGCGCCCTATGTCTTCTTGAGGCGGCGATCCATACATATTCCCCCGTCGCTCCTCTTCTGCCTCCCTTGCCTTCGCCGCAGCTGTACTCCGCTCAAGAGACGGGTCCTCAACCCAGACATTCGGCACGGATGGCACATTATTAGATGACGCCGCGCCGCCTTGGACTTCAGATGAAGCTCCATCTGTTGAAGCAAAGTAGCCATCGGTGGGTGAGAGCAGAAGTGGATCCACTTCGTCGACATCGTCCATGAGGGCCAGTGCCGTCTGGCTCGCATGGGCGTTTGCGCGGCCGTCGTACTCTAGGTGCGAGCTTATAGCAGTCATAGGGCCCATCCCTAATTCGCTGGGCCCCGGTTGGCTCAAGGAATCCCCAATTGGTTCAGTATCCGACTCATCCTCCAGAGCAGAGTAGAGGTTGTCTGCGTAGGGCATAGCTCCTACCGAACCACGCCGAGTGGGTACGAGAAAAGGTTCCTTTGCGGTGTCTGAAGTGATCTACAGAGGCCTATCTTGGGGGGAAGGTTCAAAGATGGAAATCTATGTTGCTAACGCCAGCGATGTTGTTTTGTCGAATCTCAATCCAATTTCGAAGTTGCGGTTCAGGGATGAACTGAGTACTCCATACGGGGGCAAGAAGAAGCGACGACGAGAAGACGACGAGGAAGACGACGAAGGCGATCCACACCCCACTGTGTGCAGAGGCACGAGTATGTACCGTATTCTGGAACCTGTGAAACTTCAGGGAGACACTTGGTATAGGGAAGGTGCTGTCGAGCAAGGCGTCATGGGTGTGGATGAGGGGTATGGAAAGACGAGCGTCCCGACCTTGCGGTGTGCAGGTGCCGTCAGATAGCCTCGTCAGCCATGCTCCAGAAACCCAGGTGCCAGAGTTTTGCACAAATCGGCAGAACCCAGTCAAAGGAAGGAACCAACTAGCAACCGTGGGAGCCAGTTGACTATCAAGGCCCATCCAAATTAGGAAGCTGGGGATGCATGAGTGCGGGGCTCCAACCAGGACGATTACGCAGCAAGTCACCTTGAAGAGCTCATTCTCCAGTGTACGTAGGTGCGTAGGTGCGTAGGGCTGCTTGGGACAGTTACCATAGTTGGGAAGGTCGTAGAAAGAGGGGCCCTCATTTGTTGATTACGAATTGCCCACGACAGCAGCGGGAATGACGAGGTTGGTGACACAGTCATTAATTAACGTTAGCTGTGTGACGACATAAGTCGGTATGGCATCGTCTAACACCATGGTCCCAGGGCACGATGACCTGTCATCCCAACCTTTGATCAATGATCCTCCTTCTAACTGGTATCTCTCGATGCTACTGCAGCAACCCAAACGCCGCCGCCGCCGTAGCGGACATCAAAACTCAACTACCCAGACGCCAAGTTGATGCCAAGAAAAAGTAAAAACTAAGTCGCTCTCCTCCAACGACCACCTCTAACATCGCTCAATAGCTCTATTTTTCAGGCATACCGAATCTCTGGGGGTGTTCCCAGCGCTTAGTTCAAGCCCAAAAGCTTCTTCATGTTTTCGTAGCACACCCAGGTGATGCTCAGCGCTGGAGCTACCTTGAGGAGGTTGGGCACCAGGCCTTTGTATAGGCCGCGTACTCCCTCGTTACGGACCGTCTTGGTTGCCACATCCATGAATCCCGTGTATGTTGGCGGGTGCATGGCCGTGCCTTGAGTCTGCAGCCGGGTGCGGAGAACGTTGAGAGGATAGACGATGGTAGCGCCGAGCGCCCCCGAGGACGCTCCCAAGATGGCCGTGCCGGCATTTCCAAGCTGGGCGTCGTCTTCGTGGATGCCATAGTAGCGCGCCGCCGCTCGAATGTACGACTTCTTGAGCACCTCAAATGTGCCCATGTCGATGGCGCTGTACGGAAACATGCCGATGAGCCCGAGCCCGAGGCCGCGATAAGCCGCACGGATACCGCCATCTGCCCACATTTTCTTCGCCGTCTGGAAAAGCAGCGCATTTCCCTTGGGGCCACCCTGGACCGTCTCACATTGTAGCCGAAACTTGAGCGTATCGATCGGATACACGCAGAACTGCGCCGTCATGCCGCCAATGCCACCGGACACGAACCTGGAGACGGCGCTGATCTGACTGGGGTCGTCGTGTCCTTCGTAAGCTGCGAGAAATCTCTTGGATGCTTCATAAGAGCCGAACTACCCAAGCGGTCAGAATCCCAAAGAAGACAGCGGCAGTTAGGTGGCATTTACCCGAATGGCAGACTCTGGCATAATCTTGATGACATTGAGACCATTTCCTGCGATGTTGTTTTAGCGTCGTTGTTCGAGTGCACGGCAGGTCAGCGTCAACTTACCCGCAAAAAAGGTGCGCACCCCGCCAGTCTTCCACAGGGTCACAATAGCATCGGCAATGGGACGGCCTGCGTTGCGCAGGGCAACGAGAGGACGGCCGCTCTTGGCAGCGGCGAGAGCCGCAGTGGTGCTGGTTTTTGTATTGACGAGGAGGTAGACCTTCAGGCGGTCCAGGGGCGCGGTAGCAGTTCGCGACACACCGCCCGAAACGGCACCGGCGAGGAAGTATCCTGGTACGGGCATCAGATCTGTCAGTCTGGTTTTCACGCGCTGTGGATCCTCCTCCACAAGTTCAGAAATGTCCTGGGCGCCAGACTGCTCTGTGTCCTCGTATTGCAGGATGGGTCGCTGAATCGCCGGGTCGATCAGTATTTGAGTAGGAGCACCTGCGACGGCGGAGGCCATGTCTGCTGCGGCAACCGCCGCGTGATCGGTGTCGTCGGCTCGAGAGAGAGATTTTGAAGTTTCCGAGCCTGAGAAACGCAGCGGTCGCGGGGTGTAGGCCAAATCCGGGTTGGCGAGTCTGAGGAGCGAGCCGAAGAGAGCTTGAAGAAGGAAGCTGGTCGTACCTAGGCCTTCTAGGGTTTCATCACTAACGAGCGAATCTCCCTCTGCATTGACCATAACAATGGTAGAATAATAAGACAGCGCAGCCTCCAGTGCTGACCCGTGGTGGGTACTAGGCATAAAAAGCAGGAAATCGCTTCAAGCCAAGGGTTAGCGCCAATTTACACCAGTAACCAGTTTTACCGCCATGAGAGCTTCGCTTGCTAACTCAGCACCAACCAGATTTTACACACTTCTTGTGAGGAATAGATTTCAACACCAGCAGCTGGTCGACTAGCATCGAAAGACAGAAAGCCAGGACGAGAAAAACTCCATGCCATGATCAATCCACCACCAAGTGGGTCTCTGGTTGTGCTTCCAAAAAGTGGCACAAACAATAGAAAAAGGGGTTAACAAAATGAGAACGGGCAAAGCTTACCGCCATTCATCAAAACTGATGAAACCGTCATTATTCAAGTCCATCTCGTCAAAGAAGCCATTCAGCCTCCGCATCGGCACCGACAGACCAGCGCGCTGGAAGGCTGCCCGAAGCTCCTCCTTGTTGAGTCTGCCGTCCTTGTCCCTGTCTATGGACTTGAATAGCAGAAGGAGCTGCCTCTCTGCAGCCTCAACGAAGACTCGGAATTCTAGTTTGCAGCGGTCTCAGCCTCTGGTTCCCGGTTGTCTGTGCCTCTCTTCCATCCGGTTCCCGCCCAATAGACGTGGAGAGGGACACGCACCTTCGTACTGAATCTTGCCGTCGCCGTTTGTATCGACAATGCCAATTACTGACTTGAGCATTTCATCCGCGTTCTTCAAAGCTGTAGCCGTATGAGCAACATGGTCCCGCAGTAAGAAGAGTGACTTCCTTACGGTGGTCGATCCTCCTCAGCCCCTTTTGCAGCCCCTTGAAGTCAAGCTCGCCGTGTCCCGCAGGGTCAAGCCTCCTCCAAAGCTCCTCGACGCGCTTATCGCGCTGGTTTTGCGACTCGTCCATTTCCACCTCGAGTTTCGACACGACATCAGAGATCTTCATTCCCGGGTCGGCCACTCATGGCACCTTTGCCCAGGGCAGCGGCAGGGGAATGCGGATCGGCATGCGAATCAGGGCGTCACTTCGGTAAGGGGGGAAAGGCGCGCGGAGCCAGCAACGAGCGCGATTGTATGACGCACGAAGGAAGCCAGAGCAGAGTCCGAGGCTAACCACAACAGCACGACGCACGAGGGCTCGGCACGACAGACGGCGGGTCGGTTCCACTATCGAAGAGACATCACGGGATAACTAAGAATTCAACTTTGAGGTGTTTTCTATGATTGCATAGTTTCGAGAGCGGGGGGTGTCAAGGTCGAGGCCTCGGTGACCAATTGTGCGGGATGAGGGCGTTGACTTGCTTCGATGGCTGCAGCAGATTGCAATTCCTGCCAACCGGGAAAATCTTGGACGTTGTCGTCAAGGGGTAACTTTACGTACGAGGTACTTGGTACATACATTACAGCTACAGTACGGCCCAACAAGGGTACTGTCCTTATTGTACTTAACCTCGGGCGACACCTAGGTATCTATGGACCTGCATATAACCATGTCGGCTCTCCTCGATGCAATGTAGATAAGGAGACGAAGCCTCCTGCTGGTTCCAACAAGCTATGCAGTCCCGTCCTGTGCGACATTCTGCATCTTGTTACCGAACCAGCTCCGGGTGCTCCCGATAAGTAGTCGGTACTCACACACCAGTCGAAGCATGGGACTTTGTAAGCTTGGTGACAAGCGTTGCAGTGGGGTACCGGCTTTGGCCCAATCATCAAGCAGAAGCAATGGATAGCTGCCCCGCACTCATCATCCAGTTGCCTGCTGTCTGATTCGCTAGCCTTGTCAAACATCATCCAGACTCGCAGCCTCACCCGAACTCACACATCACCGATAAGATAACCGACAACCTAAACGGGAGACTCGGGAGTTAAAGGGGTACATATCCTCACAGGCTCACTCGCACAGAGCAATTCGTTGAGATCCAATGTCTTCGCAACACAACTTCTCAGCGAGTAGCTCTATCTGCCGCGGCCCTTGACGAGCGGCTATGCCATGGCAGCCAATTATTGGGAATCAACCCAACGACGCTTCTGGCAGTTCACCAAGGACGAGCTGGCCGCCACGCGGCAGCGCCTCGAAGATGAAGACCCAACCCTGGTCCAAATGTTCCCGCTGCCGCAGTTGCGCCATCTCAATATTTACTTCAATCAGCGTATGTCTCTATGTCTCCCAATCTAACTGCCTACATGTAGCCAGTCGGGCCATCCAGAAGCTAATCTTGCAACTCCCCGAAACCAGAAATCAACCGCCTCGGAAAGCGGCTCGGCGTTCGCCAACAGGCGCTGGCAACAGCCCAGGTCTACATCAAGCGCTTCTACACGCGAGTCGAGATCCGCCGCACGAACCCCTACCTCGTCATCACCACGGCGCTCTACCTCGCCTGCAAAATGGAAGAATGCCCCCAACACATCCGACTGGTCTCGCAAGAGGCACGGTCACTGTGGCCGTCCGACTTCCACGGCCACGACACTTCCCGAGTGGGCGAGTGCGAGTTCTCGCTCATCTCGGAGATGAACTCGCAGCTCATCGTGCACCAGCCCTACCGCACGCTGCTGGCCTTCCAGGACGAGTTCGGCCTGACGCACGAAGAGACGTCGCTCGCCTGGACCGTCATCAACGACCACTACATGACCGACCTCCCGCTGCTGCACCCGCCGCACATTGTCGCCCTGACGGCCATCCTCATGGCGCTGGTGCTACGCCCCGTCAGCAACACGACCGGAGGCGGCCCCACCGGCAGCAACACCAGCACGGGCGCGGCAGGAGCAGGGGCGGGAGGAGGAGGAGGAGCAGGAGGCGTCGCCTTGGCTGCGACGGCACTGGCACAGGCACAATTGCAGGCGCAGGCTCGGGTGGCGGCCGTGTTTGCCGGCGGAGGCGGCGGCGGCAATACGCCCGTGACGCCGGGATTTACATCCTCCCAGGGGTCGCAGGTGGGCTCGGCACAAGGGGAGAACTTGGGCGAGCCCAAAAAGGCGACGGATCCCCGCCTCGCCAAAGTCCAGCGCTTTGCCATGTGGCTGGCGGAAAGCAGTATTGATATTGAAGCCATGGTGGATTGCACCCAGGAGCTGATCTCGTTTTACGAGTGCCACGAGCAGTACAACGACAAGCACACGCGGGAGCAGATCAGCCGCTTCATCAAGGCGAGGGGGCTGGATAAGTGAACGTTTCTTGGCCAGGTTCTTCAGGGCTTCAGTAACTCCTCTGTGGAGGTAGTCTGTCTTGATACCCCCGCCGGCATGGCAATACGGGATTGTCGCCTGCCCCGTCGTCTGGGCCCGGTTGACCAAGAAACCTTCTGCTCTGGGGGCCAGGTTATCCATCCAGCTCTCCATAGTCAGCGCTGGGCGTCCTGGCGGTATCCAGTCCCTAGGCATCCTCCGAATCATCATGCACAGTGTCATGCCAGACTGGATTGAGGCGGCAATGTGTGTGCTGGGGATGCTGATGGTGTGCGGGACGAAGTATCTTGCACGTTCCAGTGGATGAGGGAGGCTGACAGCTTGGGGTGACGTGCTTGGTCTTCCCTGACAGATGGGAGGCGCCGAGAGACTTCAGGTGAAGGATGGCAGATTAAGATTTCAGCTGAACCACATGAAGGAGCTTGGAGTGGTATGTCCATGGTCTGACAGCCTGTTGACCGGGAGGGTCGCAGTTGGTGAGACTTTAAGAATTTCACTCCAACGTCAGTTAGGGTCATGACAAATTGTACATACAGTACACTGACGGATCAGGCACTGAGATTTCAAGGCACAGACAAAATGGAGAAGGATGGAGAAGTGAGGATGCTTTCTAGAGGAATGCTGCTTTCCCAAGTGATAAGCGCGATGAGATCCTGAGGGTAAATCTCTATAGAAGCACAACGCAAAGAACGCGGCATGACCAGAAAACCTGGAAATCATTCATTCCTAAGGGCGGAGCCTTTCATCTTCCGCAAAATAAACCTAAACTCTGGCTCCAACCAAGTTCCAGTCCCCAGCGAAACAAACCCCAACCTCCAAAAGTTCATGGAATCGACGTGCTAGCCGAGCTTCGCCAACCTTGCCCCCTCCCTTTTCCGGCTCACAGCTCCAAAATGTTGCCCTCATCGACTTCTTTCTTGACAATGTCCGGGGTAGGAGGGTGCTCATGAAACTTGTGACGCGGCTTGATTGTCATGACTGGGGCGTTCTTTCCCGACACCCAGTCCCATTCGGACAACATGCGAATCATGGCAAAGCCGATCTCGCCATCTCCCTTCAGAACCTGAGCCCAATCGTCGGGCAAGGGGGAGTTCTCGCGGCCCCAGCTGAATAGGTAGAAGAGAGCGTGGGCAATCAGGAACAGGCGAATGGGCGCCTCGGGCGCCGTGTTGTCAAAGATGTACTTCACGTCATGCAGGTTGGGCGCCTCGTGGTTTCCCTTGGCTTCTCCGTAGTAGCTGTAGAGCGCATCGATGGCCGCGTTGCGGACGCCAATGATGCCGTATCTGCCGCCCAGGACGTACAGACGGAGGCTAGTAGAGGTAAAGGCTGGTCAGTCTGCCCGTCCGATGATAACTTGGGAAGGAAAGAAACACGTACAAGTCTCGAACGGTAGTTTCCTTGCCGTCGGGCACTGGAAAGCGAAAGGCGCGACGGCCGCCTGACATGAAGGCGATTCCATAAAGCCAACGCACAAGAAGCGCAAAGAGTTTAGGATCCTCATGAGGAAGATTTAGCTCGTCCCGGCCACGGCCATCTTCGCTCTGGAAGTACTCGGCGAAGAAGGTCGAGTGCTCGACGAGGATTTTTTCGTGGACCGCCCACTTTTTCTGCTCAGGTCCAACGATGAGGTTGATCACCCGGGCGGAGAGCCATCTAGAAATGAGGCGAACGACATCAGCTTCATGTGCTTCAAATCCATAAGTACCCAGTTATGCCATCCGGAGAGCGTTGACGGCAGAATGTTTCCGGTTCAAGGTTCTTCCACTCACCTGTCAGTGGACTCATCACCGGACAAGTCGACTACCACGGGACCGGAAGCCATTGTGGTTGTTGGCTCGTAAGAACGTTTTCGTTTGAGTGGTAGACGGCAGCTGGTCGGAGTCATAGGAGCCTGGGTACTGTGAAGGAGCAGCGGAGGATAAATAGAAACTGGTCGAGAAAGTCTGGGATAACCTGAGATGGATGGGCTTGTTGTAGATGTTGAAAGGGTGATTGCTGGTGAGATGAAGAGAAGGAAGCTGGGGAAGAAGCGGCGAGGTATTCAAGGTCGAGAGGAACTTAATGGCAAGAGGCCTTGCAAGAGCAGAAGAAGGCATCAAGCCGCCGAGGCAAGATCCAAGCTGTAATGGCCAATGGCAGGAAGAGGCAAGGCTTCTTCTTCTGCTTTGGTCTGGTGCGTTTGACGGAGTCTCGGCGAAGAGCGGTTTCGTTGGCTTATGACCTTATCCACACCGGTACGCACTGGAGCAGAAGAAATAGTAGTGGGCGAGAAACGATCCAAATCACGGTGAAGGGCGTGGTGTGGTTGGCTTGTGAGCTCACGATGCAGCTACGCACGGAGTTGGAGAGATTGTGAGAGAGAAATGATCAGACGGGATCAAGGGAGAACGTCAACTGAGAAGAGAGTCGTTAGCCAAAGAAGCGAGAGTAGGAGGTGCCTGTCAACAGCTGTCACTGCAGAAAGAAGCAGGAGTGCGTGATGGGTAAGAAAGATTCGCGTGAGTAGTTGTGAACCGGACGAAAGAAAGGATAGAGAAGAGAAGGTCATGCAGGGAGGACTATAGAAGACAAACTACCCACTTCGATAACATTTCAAAACCAGAGGCAAGGCTGAGAAGTCATCAAAGATATCAATCATGTAAGTCCAGCCATAGAAATTGCACGATGCCGGGTACACTCCTGAGATTTCCTTCCAACATTCTAACAGTCAACACAAGATCAGTGCCCTAAGATTCACCCGTATTGAACACTTACTTCAACCTAGATGTAACTGCAAAGCATGCCATGTTCCCGTCAACCGTCAAGCACAGTGACATACTAGATAGAGTATCTAGGAAGCATCAACACAGCCACACGAGAGTAAAGTGGCACCGTCCCACAAACAAGACTTACTCAAGCCTGACATATGGGACATCTACCCAAGTTGCGATAAGTGGCTCTGAGTGTCAAGCTTTGTCGACCATGAATATGCTGTTGATAACCTCGGGATCCAAGCTTGCCCGACTATCAGAGCTGGAGGCTCGCTCAACGAGTACCAGGCATAGGTCGTGATATTTGTGCCATCACCACATGTAAGGTATCTGAATCATGGAGCCCCCCAAGCCTACAGGCACTGAAACTCCTTTTTTGGGATTGTGTTCCAAGCTAAAATAACCAGGGATGGCAGGCACTTCTTCAACTTCTGGGACTAAGTATTTAGGCGTACTTACATGGACACACGGTAATGGCTCGTCTATCGTTGCCGCTGATCTGAGAACCGGAATTGGCGTTCGAACCATTGGATAAACGGTGACACGGTTACTTCTTCCAATGAGGAGTGGAAAACGGGAAAGAATCATACTCAACAGCTGAGATTCGCGAAAAGTTACCCTTGAACTGAGTTTCCCCCCATCGTGGCAGCCCCTGAGAATCTGTCAACAATGGCACAGTTGTTCAACAGGTATCCGTAGTTCTTCACGTGAGACCCTATAACCATGCCATATGCTCAGCGAGAGGCACAGGACCATGAAGAAGACCGAGTTGAGCGAAGAGATGCGCATTTAGCGCCTGTGTTTCAATTCCCATTATCACAGATTTGCTTGTGTGAGTGTTGGCATATACAAAACGCCTACCACTACTAACGGAGGCGAGGAAGCTCGGAGCCGGAAAGCCAAGGAGTCAGACCACGCGCCGTCCCATCTTACCATCCACCCATTCCGAACAAGTGCTCGGAGGAGAGACTAAACAACAAGGTAAAACTTGACATGCCCAGCCCGCTCAGCCGAGCCGCAAAACACCAAGCAACTGCAACCACAATGTTGCCCTGCGCGCGCCTGCTGCTTTGGAACTCTTGAGATGCGATGCCGACCGAGCAAACCAACCCCCACAAGCAATAATCAACTGTGAGTAAGAGACAATAGCTCCCAGACAGACAATCCAGGGAACACCCGATATGCGCATCCCCTTTCCGCCATGAACCAATATCCGTATGCAATCCGTTTGAGAAATAAGAACAAACAGAACCCACAAAACGGATATAGAGGCGGGAATCAGCTTAAGCTGCCCACCGTTAACCCATGATACAAATGAAGCCGAATGAGGAACATGAACAGAAATCAAGCAATATGAACCGACTCCACACCCGCCCGCCCCCTAACCGATCCGGAAATACCAGCTCGCTGAGATACTCGACAGTAAAACCACACAATGTCTTCGCCAACCGACCCCAAAGCTCCCATAACATTGGAACCCATGTAGCCACCAAATCGAGAACACCCACGTTGCAACATTCCCCGCCATGCCCCCAACCGCGACTGAAAAAAGACACCGTCCCAAGTCGCTCTATATGTCAATGTAGTCTTTTTCTGGAATGAAGAACTCGTAAACCCGTAGACCCGTAAACACTTTTTATCGTGTATGACTGGAAAGCCACCACTTCCGTGGTATACGGGAAAGAGACCGCCAAACCCCATTGTATGGTATCGAGATAAGGAAAGCCGCAAAACTCCGTCGTGAGACACCGATGCAAAAAAGCTGCCTTGAGCAAGGATGCAAAACCACCGTGGAAACGCCCATTCGTTGTAGTCGAAAATGAAATAGCAGCCCTCAACTTTCGAGGCCGGGAACACCGCATCGAAACGTAAACTTTTTGTTGGTATCGGGGTAAACAACGAAGCGGTATCGATTATTCTTTCATCGCGCATCCGATTATGCCAGAAATATTTCGCTCGTAAAGAGTGGCGTATGTTAATTGATGGATTTTTGTACAGGTTGGGTATCGTGTCAAGTGGACAAGTCGCCAAGGAAGTCGAAGATCCGGTCGACCCCGAAAAGCTCAATTGCCGCCCTCTGCCTGCTGGAGCGACGATGGAAGTATCAATCCCTGCTACCCTGTTTGCCGGTGCCCGCCAAGATGAACAGCTGCATGAGCGAATGTGCACAGTGATCTTACAGCCCTAACTGCAAGGATGGCGATGGGTCGGGGCTGGCTTGTCTCGTCCGGGAATCACAGAAGCGAGACATCAGCACACTCACCACCGCCGTCCGACGGCTTGGGGCTGCATCCGGGCGGGCGATACCGAGGGTGACGGACTGGACATCGTGATGCCCGTAGCAGGGTTGACAATTGGGATGGCGTTGCGAACGCGGGTGGCAGAGGGCTGGTGAAGTTTCAGGGGTGAAGCGTGACTTTGGTACGCCGGAGGGATAAAGGCCGCGGAACTCGACTGCAGTGAGAAGCCGGATGCGACTTGGACGGCAGGCTGCGTCGGTGAGCCTTGGGGCGAGTTGCTTGCCAATGATGACCGTTCGGAGGATGAGCTGTGAATCGACACGAGCTATGTCCAAAACTCGGTCAGTACAACCAATGTACAGAGGTGCTAAAACGCCGGCCGGATAGACAGCAAAGCGTCTTAGGGACTCACATCGCTCTCGGTCAACAAGCCGGGACAGAATTCCATATCGTCCTCGAGGTCAAACGATCGGCCGGCCTCGAACTTCGTCCGAAAAGCCGCAAGGTTTGCCGACTCGGTAAGCTCTTTCATGCTCCTCACTCCTCGAAATTGCTTGTGAGGATTCTGTGCGACGGATAGCCTCGGCGCTCGCCGGTTTCGCCCTCCATGGTGGCTGTGGGAGACAGCGGTTGCTGTCGTCGGGGTAGGATGCTGCTGGTGGGCGTTGAAGTGATAGTACGCAGACATTATGATCGATCGATAAACCAAAGGCGATGCACTCGGGGGCCAAGGTCGTCTGTTTACAGGAGCTCGGATGGTTGGCGGCGGTTAGACTCGCATAGGGTGGCTCGGACTTTTGAAATGTTGCCGATGGTGTGACACAGGCTGCACAATGGAATCAAAACAAACAGGTCATTCACGACTGGCAGGCGCTGGAGTCCGGAGTGACTAAGTTTCGGTCGTTCGTTGAATACAAGATAGGTGTGTCGGTCGTTTTTGGCGCCTTGGGGGTAGAGAGCTTTTGTGCTGGTTTGGTAAGAACGTGGGGAAGGTAGGTGAGTGAAGGTCAAGTAGGGAAGAGGCGAAGAGAAGAGGGACAGATTCTGCAACCAGCACGGGCGGAGGGTTGGACACGATGAAATGGTGGGGAGGGCTACCAGGGACAACGCTAATGCACGATAGAGGCAGGACCCGGCCACACACTCACGAGCAGGTGCAATGGCCACTCTCCTTGCAGGCTGGGTGGCAAGACTGCATTCGAAGTGGGTCCACGGAACAAGCGATTGGTCGAACTACCTAAGCTAGTCGGTGTATGGCCTAGCCTTCTGGGTTTGTTGTTGTTGTGTGGTAATTTTGGCCTGCGTACCCACTATGCCAGCCAGTGCCGGAACCGGCCACTGGACGGTGCTGGCCATGATGGTTTGAGGCCGTTGAGAACGCCGTGCTTCTTGCGCCAAACGGACTGACCTGACCCCACCTACGGATACACAAATTCGAGTTCAGCTCCCGCCAGCTCCCGATGTGGCCCGACTTCCAGGTTGATATGACATTTTGAGATTCGAACCCATATTGAAGAAGTAGACGAACGTCCCGACACTTAGGTTCGTCAGATAAGAAGCGGCGCCTGTAGTTCCTAAGTTCTGTTGTTGAATTCTTTGTTTCGTCTCCAATTGCGCTTGTTATGCAGCACGGAGTAGCCCGCTTCTCGCCCCTCGGTTGCTGAGATCTGCAACCCAATGAATTCAATCACTTCAACCAAAGTTCTCTGATGATACGGTCGTGGATGGTAACTGCCTCTGATATCGAAAGCATCAAATGATGAAACTAGCGCCCACTACCTCACCCTCTTCCGCTACATACAGCACCTGCAGGCGGTTGGGACTCGCGTAATTCTCAAGTGTATTCACTCCGTAGCCGGCTAGCCATTGGAATCCTCATGGCGTCCCAGCCTTGTGGCGGGGAATTCCGTCGGCGCTCCTTGACTGGTTTAAGCACAGTGATAAAACGCAGCGAGACCTTCTCAAGACCTCACGGCCGGCGACTGAGCAGGGCGGCCAGGTCTTCGCTTGTCTCCGTACCGTTGCATCAGCGGACGCAAGTCACCAAACGTGGCCGGGCCTTTGGACCCACGGATCTCCCCCTGGAAGGCACTCAACGGGCTGGACATGGCGCTGATCCAGACAGCGCTGGACCCCGTTAATTAGTCCCTCATCGGACGCAAAGCTCGCCACTAGGTGACTACATGTGCCCCGTAGTGGCGGCGTCACCAGACCGAAAAAGTGTGTCGTGGTGTAATGTATTATATGAAGAAGACAAAGCACCCGAGGCACCTTGTGCTCTTTTGACAGGCTTCAAGCAACTGGAGATCCCTGTCTAACGTCAGACAACGTTACTGTGTGCACAATGAGCAGTTACAGTGCTCTGCCGACTAATGCTGACTCGAAATGCGGGTTGCAAGCGCCTCATTAACATGATGCCTGGCACAGAGGTGCTATTGGCTTGCCCCATCAACCGCCTTGCGCGCCCAGAAACGATGCATGACGCCAAAGCCGATTTATCTCCCGCTCAACCACGGTCCTAAGTGGCTCTTGCTGCCGGGTTGGTGCCCGCCTGTCCAAATCCCTGTCGGGCGAGCGAAGAGAATGACATTCAGCCGGTTCTCGATCGCATGACAGGAGGGCATTACGGAGTACTTCGCAGCCTTATCCCCAGATTCATTGACCGCCTCGAAGACTGCTGTATCGTTGAGAATCTGCTGACCCCCACTTCTTCAGACCCATCTCTAAGGTGGCTCTGGGTGAGTGACCAAAGGGGCGGCATCTCGTCGTTCTCAGCGTCGTGGTGCATTCTGCCGTTTATCCTGGGCAGATCCCTTCGTGCTCGCGTACCTATCTCAAACCGCTTCGCATCACGAGTTGCGAGCACCAAACCTATTCCTCAAGCGCTGTCCCGTTCCTGCTGTGTCTCCTTGGTCCTTATTCCCTACCCGTTTCGTTTATGAATGGAATGCAGAAGATACCAGCGGCCGAGGGACAAATAGTTAGTCAATCGTTGTTGTTATTGTGCCTGAAGCGGGGCAGTCAAGCCAGGCCGGAAGCTATTTTGGTCATCGAGTCTTGAGCGATGGGATTAGCAGTAAGTCATGAAGATCTTGGTACCCAAGCGTCGTTGAGAGGGTGCCCCTCTTTCCCTGTTCCTGGACTTCACACAGCCAGTTCCAGGACTTTTTGATGGAACCCAAATGCAAGACATGGCCCTGTGCAAGCCGTTTGACGTGAGGGGACGTCCGAGGGGCTTCTTCGCCTACAGCGGCATGGCCCAAAACAATGTGTCGCCGTTCACTGCAGAGACTGCCATAGTCAATGCATCTGTGCACGAAACGAGCAAGGGGATCACCATACTCAAACAACACAGTGGTGGTGCCCAGTGGTGCCCATGTGAAGTTTGTCATTCGCCAGTCCCGTACACAGTGGCAGGGAGGGCAATAAGTACGACAAGGCATTGTCCAATCCGGGCTGTGCTCACTCGAAGTGTGCCTCTACCTAGAATTACTATGCTCACAGGCAGGAGTCTCACCTGATCCCAAGAGAATATAGGGGGTAAAGGTCAATGGATGCTGGAACTTCGAGGTCGCGAAGGCTTTCTGGAACGGCGCTGGACTCACTGGGCGGGGCGAATTGCTTCTTCTCGGCTTCGGCCCGCGGCGTCTTCCTGAACATGCACAATGAACCGATGTGCATCTTGTTGATGTTTGAACTTGCAAGTTCACTCCCGGGTTGAAATCGGGCAGGAACAGCACAGACCACAGGTTGGTCGGAACACCCAGCCAATGGTGGTGGAGTCGTTGAATATCCCGCTCGAATGGATTGGTTGACCGCACTGCCACACCGCTCTTTCAAACGAAATGCAGTGCGGCAGGCAGTTGCGGCAGGCAGAAATCCAACAAGGCACCAAGGCAAGTGTCGGGTAGGTATGTCAGGGGGTCAGGTATCCTAGGATGAAGGAGATTGGAAACCGGAGGTCCACTGTTCACAGCCACGGCGCTGCAACGCCGAGAACGCATCCCCTTTCCCCACACATCAATTGTGGCACAGCTGACATCTTGGGGGATCCCAGCCGGGCCAAGCTTGGAGGAGGCACAAAGTACCGTACTACCTCGACTACGTACTGATGTTAGAGTGCTGATGCCGTGCTGACCATTACCTCGACATCCTGCATATCTGCTGCCATCCCATTTGCCTGCAGAAATGAAGACTACTGGGCACGGCTGCACTAGAACTTCAGCTGCATTTGCACTTGCTTCCATGTGGTAAAACCCAGATCCTGCAGCTGACCGAGGAACGCGACAGACCAAATGTGGATGGACTGGTAGATTTGGTGATGCTTCTCTTACTTTCAAGCCCTGAAAGAAAGTGGGATGAGTCGCTGCTTGTATTCCTAGTCGTCTTCACCACACCTGTGCAGGACGTATGCAGCTCGTAGCATCTCGAGATCATCGACTCCTTCGTTGGGCAGCAGATAACACCAGATTATTACTGCCTCCGTGTGTAGGTATACTAGAACCCAGGTCATTTACATTGTCTCCACGCAATCTCCATTCCCTAGCATAGCATTTCACACACATCTGCGAACGGGGTCATCACTCGACGCGGGCTACCGCATTGGACTCGATAATTTCAGTACAGTACCTGCGTTACTGTTAGCATCAGCGTATTGCACGAAGAGGACGTTGAAGGCCCATTTGATTGGCACCCCCCCGGGCCTGGTTTCGGGGTCGATAGTGTCGCAAATATTGTATCCCAAACGGTTGGAAAAGGCGCACGTACAGCCCCCTAGGTCACACCCGGGCGGAGGCCCGGCCCCGGCCCCGGCCGCAATTCAAGTGGCCCGCTCCGGACTCTAGGTCCGAACGGAACGGCAATACCGCAGCACTCGGGTACAGGCTTGGTCACATTTGCAACTCTTGCTGAAGGTACTCCGTAGAGCCGAAGAGACAATTTCTAAGGCTGACACGAAGCCTTTTTTTTTTTT